GAGAGAGGCAGCGTTCCAGGAATGGTCGAACTCTTCGCCTTCCAGTGTCGCCAGTCGAAAGGACCCCGTCTTGGACTTGTGCTTGATGAGGTACGGTCCTTCCCACTTCGATTCAAGCTTGCCAACGGCTATCGGGTTCACCTTCTTTCTTAGGACAAGATGACCAGGCAACAGCTCCGTCGGTCGAACCTTTTTGTTGTAAGTTGCCGAAGTGCCAGTGGCATACTTGCGCATGTGCTCGAGTGCTTCGACTCTTACCCCCTCCAAGAGTTCGAGCGACACCTCGCGCCCCTCTTCGCCCCCAGAGAACATCACCCTTGGTGAGTTAGCCCCTAGCTCTATTGGGGTCATTGCCTCATCACCATAAAGAAGCATGAACGGGCTAAACTTGGTTGGTCTTGTGGGGGTCGTTCGAAGGGCCCAGAGAACAGATAGCATTTCCTCTGGCCATTTGCCCTTCACTGCCCCCTCAAGCCTTTTCTTTAGTGCTTCTAGGATCTTGCCATTTGTACGTTCGGCCGCCCCATTTGACTGTGGGTGCGCGACCGACGCGAACCTGATTTCCAGGTTAAGCCCTTCGCACATTTCTCTGAACTTGTCAGAGTCGAGCTGCTTGCCGTTGTCAGTGATGAACTCTTTTGGCACTCCGAAACGGCAAACAATGTTTTTCCATACAAACTTCTGTACTGCTGCCGAAGTGATCGCTCCGAGGGGTTCGGCCTCAATCCATCGAGAGAAATATTCAACAGCCACAATTGCGAACTTGTACCCGTTTCACGCCACCGGGAACGGCCCAATGATGTCCAGTCCCCATCTAGCGAAGGGCTAGATTGGCGCAATGGGCTGCAACTCATACTGGGGCGCGGTTTGGCTTCGGCCATGACGCTGGCAGCTTTCGCACTTCTTGATTTACTCAACACAGACTTTCAACACAGTGGGCCAGTAAACTCCTTGTCTAAATACTTTGGAGGCAACTGTTCTTGCGGCTTGGTGCGCGCCACATAGCCCCTGGTGTATCTCCTTCGCCATTTCCTCGCCTTCGACGAAAGAGATGCAGCGAAGCAAGGGTTGAAGTACCCCGGAGCAATAGAGCTGGCCCGAGACCATCTTGTACTTTGTGGCTCTGAGTTGCAAGCGTTTTGCTTCTGCTTCGTCTTCCGGAAGCCAGCCAGTTTCAAGGTGTTTCACAAACGGAGTTCGCCAGTCGTATGGGTCTTCGTCCAGTTTCACTTGGTCGATTGTCATGACCTCCAAGCTGTACATGGGCACACTTAGTGCATATAGGACTTCAAAAAAGATGCCAGGCGAATGTGGGCCACTACAAGCAGCAGATTTCGCCAAGGCGTCTGCTTCCTCGTTCTGGCCTCTAGGTAAATGTTCGACCATTATGCCGGTGAAGCATTTTTTCATAGACCGAACGGCCTCCAAATACCTCTTCATCCCTTCTTCTTTTGCCTCAAAGGACTTGTCGACATGGCCCGCCACCAACTTAGAGTCGGTTCGGATTAGCAGGCCCCGAATCCCCAATGCTTTCGCCTTTCTTAGGCCCAGAAGAATGGCTTCGTATTCTGCCGCGTTGTTGGTTGTGTCGAACTGCAGCCTTGCGGCATACTGAATCGGCACACCATTTGGCGAAGTGAGCACTGCCGCAATGCCCGCCCCCTTGTGCGACTACGAACCGTCGGAGTACATCACCCGAGGCTGTTCGGCGGGCTCGGGTTCAAGGGCGAGTGCCGGTGTCCATTCGGCCACAAAGTCAGCTAGCACTTGGGACTTTACCGCAGTGCGGGCAACAAAATGTAAGTCGAAAGGGGATAGCTCTGCTGCCCACTTAATAAGCCGACCAGTAACTTCTTTGCCTCGGAGTATTTCGTCCAAAGGGTACTACGATGGCACTATGACTTTGTGGGCCTGAAAGTAGTGCTTGAACTTGCGTGAAGCCATCACCAGGGCATAAGCGAGCTTTTCCATTTCAACATATCTTGTCTTCGCTCCTTGCAATGCTTCGGAGACGAAATAGACCGGCTTCTGGCCTGAATCCGTTTCTTGGACGAGAGCAGCACTGACTGCCACTGGCGAAGCTGCCAGGTATAGTAGCAGTTCACTCCTTGGTGCTGGGCTGATCAGAGCTGGCGGGCTTTGCAGTTATTGCTTTAGCTCGTCGAACGCTGCTTGGGCCAGCCTCATCTTTTTCTCTTATGTTTATTTTATCAGCCAAATTTTAAATTCAACCTTAAATTTAAGGTTGATTTTGAGATTTTTTTCATCGAAGTTTATTTTTTAACTTTTTTTTTCAATTCGCTAAAAACACATACATAAAAAATTTTATTTATAAATTATTTTTTAATGGTTGTTCACAGAACGATGGAGCGAGATTTTGCTTCATGTACATATGACATGACAGTATAGGAAGCTGCTAAAGTTCCAGCGTGCGCAGTGTACATGTATTAATATATATCAAGGTAATAAATTCTCTCTGTTCTAAAATATGTAAATAAGTTTTAGCCTTCAACATGGATATTAAGAAGATTGGTAAAAAAAATTATTGCCTCTCTAAGATGGGTGAGGTATAGCCCGGTATAATTGAAGCTATAATAAAATCTAGGTAATTTAGTCATAAAAGATAACTAGCATGGTGGCCCGCGCAGATTGCGCGGCTAGCATAATTATATTTTCTCTCATATAATAGCATATATGTTTTTCTCATTATATTATTCAAATATATTAAAATGACAACATAATTTTAAATTTTACAATAACTTTAAAAAACTACTAATGTGTAATATTCATATTATATTTTATATACGTGTTAGTTATTAATTATTTTTAATATCAAATTTTAGTTATTTGTAAATTATATATATTCCTATATGGACTCTAGACTCGTATTTTAATATATCTTTTTAATTCCGAATTTTCTGTAAATTGTATTTCTATATGGACTCTATGCTCTTCTTCCAATATTATTTATTTTTATTTTCTGAATTTTCATATTATATTTTATATGCGTGTTAGTTATTAATTATTTTTAATATTAAATTTTAGTTATTTGTAAATTATATATATATTCCTATATGGACTCTAGACTCATCTTTTAATATATTTTTTTAATTCTGAATTTTCTGTAAATTGTATTTCTATATAGACTCTATACTCTTCTTCCAATATTTTTTATTTTTATTTCTGAATTTTTATTATTTCTAATTGTATTTCTATATGGACTCTAAACTCATCTTTTAATATTCTTTAATTTTAAATTTTAAATTTCAGTTACTTCTAAATTGTATTCCTATATTGACCTTACACTCTTCTTCCCATGTTTTTCTTTATTTCGAATTTTAGTTATTTGTAAATTGTATTTTTATACGGACTCTAAACTCTACTTTTGATTTTATTATGTTTATTCTAAATTTAAGTTAGTTTTAAATTCCTATATGGACTCTATACTCTACTTCTAATATTCCTTATTTTTTAATTCTGAATTTCTATTTTTTTCTTAATTATATTTCTATATGAACTCTATACTTTACTTCTATTCTATGTTCCTTATTTTTAATTACAAATTTCTATTATTTCCTAATTGTATTTCTATATGGACTCTATACTCTACTTCTAATATTCTTTTTTTTTAATTCCGAATTTCAGTTATTTCCTAATTATATTTATATGAACTCTATACTCTACTTCTAATATTCCTTATTTTTAATTCCGAATTTCAGTTATTTCCTAATTGTATTTCTATATATAGACTCTATACTCTACTTCTAATATTCCTTATTTTAAATTCCGAATTTCAGTTATTTCCTAATTATATTTCTATATGGACTCTATACTCTACTTCTAATATTCCTTATTTTTAATTCCGAATTTCAATTATGTCCTAATTGTATTTATATATGGACTCTAGTCTCCTTTTCTAATATTCCTTATTTTTTAATTCTGAATTTTAATTATTTCTAAATTGTATTTCTATATGGACTCTAGTCTCCTCTTCTAATATTCCTTATTTTTTTAATTCCGAATTTCAGCTATTTTTAAATTGTATTTCTATATGTACTTTGCCTTTTCTTTTTCTCCGATTAATGTGAGAATTTCTAGGCCATGAGAGCGAACGTGGAGGCTCTTTCTTCTATTCCTTTAATAATGTAATAGATAGATAGTATCTTACTATATGCAAAATATTCTAAAACTTATTATATTTTAGAATGGAGGTAGTAACGGATAGCGAGTTGGTAGCGAATTACGGATAATGACTTCCGCGGACTCTAAGTTTCAATAGCAGAACTCAAATTACAACCATAGATTTGCATTATATATCAACAATAATAGTTTTATTCAAAATTTACAACTCAAACATTTTATGATATTTTGTAACATAACAATTATAAAAAATTAAAGAATATTGTTTAAGCACAATAGCGACCGAACAAAACCGATAGCGAACTACAACATAGTGGGCGGCTGGGCGCTAAGTGCAATAGTGGATGTTAAGATCTGTTTAGATGGGACTAAAACTAGTTTTAAGTCCCTATTACATCGAATGTTTAGACACTAATTATAAATATTAAACATAGACTATTAAAAAAACCCATCCATAATCTTAGACTGATTCGTGAGACAAATCTATTGAGCCTAATTAATCCATGATTAGCCTATGTGATGCTACAGTAAATATTCTCTAATTATGGATTAATTAGGCTTAAAAAAATTGTCTCGCGAATTAGCTCTCATTTATGTAATTAGTTTTATAAGTAGTCTATATTTAATACTCTAAATTAGTGTCTAAATATAGAGACTAAAGTTAAGTGACTGAATCCAAACACCACCTTAAGTTGTACTACAATTCATATTGGGAGTATCTTCAGTCCGCTAGCGTCTCATAACGATAACACGATAGAGGTCGGCTACTGGTATTGCAGCCACTACTAGTACAAAAGCTTCATCAGGAGGGTCTATATGTGAGAAATTTGTCAACAAGGGCCGAACTGTAAAACGACACCGATTTTGGCCATTTGCTTGGGTCGCCGAGTCCAAATAGTCAGTCTTCCCCTTTGTCCTCTCCTCCCTCGCTTATCCCTTATAGGCGCCGCCTCACTCCACCGGCGGCCGCCGCCGCGACCCTAGAGGGGGCGCCTCGCTTCTGCTTACCGAGGTAAAGGACTGAGCTGCCGTACACTTGCAACCAATGTCGATTTGATCTGAAATTGGCACACGGCTTAGCTCATCCTTAGTTCTTGTTGGGTTTGTTTCCGTTCCGAAAAACGATGATAAAAATCGGTTTCTTGTTGTTGTTTAGGGTGCCAATAAAAACCGAAGGGTTTAGTTTCCAACTAGATCCGTGGATCTAGTGTCTCATAATCTCCCAATTTTCCCTATATTGTTTCTTTTTTTTTGAGGGGGATAAGAAGAAGAAGAAGTAGGAGGCACACTCTCGTTCATCCCCACCGATTTTGATATTCTAGCTCCAGTTTCTCACAGCAAAATGCTGATTTGGCCACAGGATCGTTAGGGTGGATGAAAGGTAGCCCGGATTCTTCATCGACGAGAGAGGAGCAGAGGATTGCTGCTTGGCTGCTACTCGTTTCCTGCGTCCTCCTATGGCTATGGCCATTCCTGCTGCTGCTGCTGCTGCTCTGTGGGTGTTGCCATGCCACAGATAGTTGCGTCGCTAGATTCCTTTTGCCCTCTAAGTTATCTTCCTTAATACTGTATGGAACAGGCCGTTTCCATGCGACAGACCGGAGAGGTGATATGCCGCCTGCACATGTGGAACCGGGATGGACTGTCAACAGCTGCCAACAGTCACTACGAATGCATCAACCGACCCCCCCTTTCGATCCGGACAAATCTAACCCACTTCTGCTCCTGCCCATGCGACTCATCAGAAAGGAGCAGTCCTGACAATTATGCATCTAGTGTAGCAAGTGACTCAAATGGTGGTGGCATTGGAGCAAGGAACGGGCATCCGCTTCGTTATTCTTCAAATGTCCATCTTCTCGACGAGAATGTCAACCTCATCTCAACTGAGTCTGTGGCACAGCTTGATACCGCTATGGGCCGTTGCGGAGAGATCATAGGTGATCACAGAGAAGAACTGCTCATGGTCTTCACTAACAATTCAGATATGTTGAGCAGGTAATTCACAGCCTTTTAATTATCCAACGTCAAACGTTTCTCTGATTCCATTACCCCATTACCTGTCTTTTTTGGTCGCATACGCCATGTTTGAACCAGCCATAATTAACATGGAAATTTCCTGTATGGCATTTTTTCCCAGCACCCCAGGAAAAGGAGCAACTAAAAAAAAATTCTAATCTGCTCACATATTATGTGTTAATAAGCCATATAGTTGGCTTGACGTGCAGTGCAAAACACTTCTCCATTATATATGAAAAACAATCCATATCATTACAAGTTTGCAACCAACGCACCGTTCTAGCCAAGGTTGCAGGGTCAAACACAGAAAGAACAAGGGTCCGTGTGGTTCATGGGCAAAGGTTGTATGGGAGATGGCCATCCATGTTTTGTTGGATGGATCCAACTTTCCATTAAGAGAATCCAGGACACCTTAAGTCTTTTGGATTGTGGTGCATTTTAGAATTGTTAAATATATGTAATGGCAATACTTTTATGACATTTTAAATGAGTAAATTTCGCAAAAGTTCACATGTTTTGACAAAACTAGCAGAAAACTACATGTTTTAACTTTTAAGTCACAATATCGCAAAATTACAGGCATAGTGCCAAAATATTATCAGTAAACTAGTTGTTTAAGACGTAACACTGATTTTCTCAAGAACTATTCAAAATTTCCGTCAGGGTTAGTGGATAACAGAGCTAGGTATGGAACCTGTAGAATCTGTAGTTTGTATTTTGTAATGAATCCAGTGCCAAATCCGTAGCTTTGCAATTTTTATGCTTAAATCTGTAGCTTTTGACAAATTCTCTAGGTATGTAGTTAATGCAACATTGCAGGCCAAATCTGAAGTTATTGTCTTTTTGATAGTTTTGTTAAAGTATTTTACTTTTTCTAAATTACTCTTATGATATCAACATAGCACAATTAACCATTATAATCTTTTTGATTGAACATAAAGAAACATTGACTAACATTAAATTTTGAATTGTCCACCTTATTTTTCGAAGTCACTTCTAGAAAATCACTCTAATCGTTCCACTCTTGGGAATCCTTTGATGTTCATTTCATCTTGTGACAGTTCTAAATTGACCAGGTGTAGTTTGGTGCATGATGTAGCTCCACTTCATTATAACAGGCACCTGTCCGGATTCATAGTAGTCACATCCCGTACTAGATTAACTTATTTTAGGATGGAGAGAGTAAGTCTGAAGCAAGAAATAGATCTCTATTTCAATTGCCAATCCTCATTTCTTAAGTTTCCATTCTTTACCCTGTTCATCTATCCCAATCCTCACTAGTCAGTCATCACCCTTCTCTGCCATCGACAAGAAATGACAGCCCCAGCACTTAACCTACCTTGTCACTCACTTTTCTGTTGCTCATACAGACACATTCTTGGAAATCAGCGTACAACTATCTGCTTTGGGATTGTCTCCAAACAATGACAAGTGACAAATAAGGTTCTCACATGACATATGGCCTGATGAATGTGAGCAGAGTCAGGATTCAGTATTGTTTTATTAAGTAGAGCTAGGACTATGTGTAATTTTTTTTTTAACTAGAGTCGCGCTCCTCCCATTTCATTAAGAGAAATCACAGCATTCAGACTACATGAGTTCAAACGAAAACAAAAAAAACGAAGACTATCTAGACCCCTTTCTCCCTTTCTTCTGCGCCATGGTGTCATCCCACCATGGATAAGAAAATGGGGGCAGATAACAACGACCTGGTGAAACGGCCATGGGCCAATAAATATTTCATCCAAGTTTTGAGCATCAGTGAAACCAAAAGGAACCTTTCTTATCAGACAGGGACAACTGCAGAGAAAAAAGACTCCCCAGACAAGGACTATGTGTAATTAGGAGTGGAAAAGAAAAAGCTCATGTAGCTGGCTCGTTTGGGTCATTTCAAAACTGCTCTGATTGATCTACTCTAATTTTTTAAATAAAAAACTATTCAATTTTTAACGAAAGTTGTTTTCACTTTGGCTTGACTTGGCTTGGCTCGTTAGCTCGTTGACAAAAAAATAATCCCTAACGATAGAGAAAAATATAATAAATAACAAAAACTTAATTTCGAAGAAAGCTCGATAAAAAGCTGAACAAGCTTTTTTCCCACCCCTATTAGTAACAACTTTATTGCCAGAGGAGATATAGGAGTTGATGCAGTAGAAGCATATGGAGAGATGTACTCGTTTCACAGCATTGTCAAACTTCTGTACATATATTGTTTGTGTTGGTGTATCTTTGTTTTGTTTTTCTGAGCTAGCTTGTGGATAAATCTATAGGTATTGGCCAGGTTGAAAAGGGATTGAGGATAGCATCAAATACCTGATTGTCAACTTGTGAAGAGCACTGATAAAGAATAGTAGATTTCCAGTTTCCTCCATCCCATTTTGCCTGTTCCCTTAGCTTTTCCTATCTGCCTTTTCTTATTCTTTAGTTCTTACCCAAAATTCTCATCTTTTTCCTGCCTTTTATTTCTGTGAAAGAATTCCCCTGGTTTCCGCTGAAAATAAGGTCATCAGAATGTTTGTGATCCCTAGGGGCCTAGGGTGTCGATCAGCGTGGGTTGGAGGTGCTCGGTGGTGTAGTAGTGGATATTTGTATGTTGCTTGAATTGTGGAGGTGTTAGTCAACCTAGATTGTTGGAAATGTTGGCTCTAATACCTTAAATGATAAAACCAACATCAGTAAACGAAATAACCAATAGAATGTATTGATGTGATTGAATAGGGGACAAATGTATGAAGTATGTGGGAACTCTTTTCTGGATCCAAAACTGATATGGTACTAAACTTTAGACTCTTAAAACAGACTCCCTGTTCTTTTCAGATTGTTCGCCAGATTATTGAAATGGATTGTTTGCTCCACGCTTTGAAAACTACATTTTCTCAAAAAACTTTCTTCAACTGCATTACTTAGATCACTTATTTTAAGCTGTTTGTTAACTTTATTTTTAATTGTCACTATAATCAAGTAGATAATCCACGGCAATAATCTTCTTTATAATCTAAATCAAATAGGGCCTCAATGCTAAATCTTAATTATTACTGCATACAGAAGTAATCTATGTTGTTTCCTAAATTTTAGATATACCGTGTGTAATTTCTTCCATGATGCAAATCTATGGCTACCTAGTCAAGCTAAAAAACTACATAGTAGTTGAGTAATTAAATTGAATGGTATCCTGAATGCTTACCAAACCATCCAATTTCTAGTTGCATGGCTTAAGTATATAATTATTTTTTCTTTCTATTTCATTTCCAGTTGCAATCATGGGACAGCTTCTTGTTATGCTAAAATCCCAGGATATGAGTAATCCAATTTGTCTTTGCTTATAACAATGCTTTTTTTTTCTAAATATGCAAGTTTTTTACCCACAGTTTCTAACAAGTTCAATTTTTCCTATTTACAGTCTCTTCTATGAATATGATACACCATGGATTCTTGGTAAAAACACAAAGACATCCATGGATTTTTCGAAGTGTGAAGATCTTGGAAAAGATTATCTTATTATGCTGAAAATTAGCACCAAAGTTCTCCAGTCGATGTTCTGTCAGTTTTGTGGACAAAATCAACCATTTTTCCAAACAAAAAAAGACTACTTTCAACAGTTTGCAAAGTCACCTATTAAGAAGATGTTGGAGATTGCACTTTCTTTCAGTGAGTCAAACTGGTCTGAGGAGCATATCCGTCCAATGCTACTTGCCTATGATACACTACAAGATGTCCTTCCTACCATAAGGGAGTTGTCTCCTGATGAACCTGACGAGTTTTTTACCAGCATCTTACATAACATGAGGAATGCTTCCAGGGGAATAATTGACAATATGAAGCGATTCATACAACATAAGGTGCAAACCTGGGACAACATTGCTATTCATCCAACGACATGTTTCCTCATAAATGCAATAAAGATTTTCAACGTTCACAAGAATTTATTGCATTCCACTCTGGTCCCTGGTGATGGCCAAGACTCATTTGGTTATCTTATTAATGGCGTCATTGCTTGCTGGAAATTAAAGATCAAAGAGCTTTCCATGTTAGATGATCCAGACAAAAATGATTCAGACGGAAACAATCCAAACTTGTTCATATTCTTATTGAATAACATAAAGCATTTTAATAGGGATACAAATGGTCTGCTGGATGGGTTATTGGTCCATAGGGAGCTCATTGAAGAGTGCAAGAATGAGTTCCAGAGTGACATGGAAAATTATACTAGTAGATATATGACTGCATCTTGGGGTCCAGCCATATCTTGTTTGAACAATCATACAGGCGGAAGCATACGTCAATCTATGAATGCATTCATTTCAAAGTTTGAAGGTACTTTTGATTGCCAGAAGGTTTTGAAAGTTCCTGATAGTGAGCTAAAGCAGAAATTGCGAGATGATATAGAAAATTTAATTTTTCCAGCATATGAAATATCCTTTGAGGAACTGCAGAGAAATTCCAATTCAGGATTATTTTGCTCATGTTTTCCGAGAAATTTAACATGCAGCATGTATACCCCAGAGATATTACGACGTTCTGTGCAAGGCTTGTTTGAAGGATGAACTCTATTTCTCCTCCCTCTCTATATATAGTTCCAACAAATGTACCTATCTTTGTTCAATTGACCAGATTTAATTGGCAGGGAAACTATCGAGATTAAGGTTTGCTATTAAACTATCGAGATTTCGCTGTAACCAAAATAAAGCCATGGAAAGTTTGGATGCAGCAGGACAGGACAGCACCTAGATTCTATGGGTGATAAGTGCTCCAGAGATGGGAGATGAGTGGCAGAACAGAAGCAAAGGTCCAAGGTGTGAGAAAGTCAACTGGGGCAATGAAGACAGCAAAAATTACGGTTGGTTGGCAAAGACCGCATGCCATCGCTGATGCCATTCAACTATGGCAAGTTCGCCTACCATGGTGATCTGGTGTGCCACTCAAACTTCAGAAGAGAGCAGTTTGTTATATACTATGTCCTGCCATTTTAATTTTCAAGTTAGGGAAAAGGTGACCTTTCTTTCTTTTCTTTTCTTTTCTTTTCCTTTTTACAAGGAAGGGATAAGGTGACCTCTGTTATCCTTGTTGACAGGTTTTCTAGTTTTGAGATACTAGTGCTAAAGATGCATATATAATTTGAAATTGTTTCAGAATCAGTCAGTTCCATGGCCTGGTGTGACAGTTTTATTTTCACACTGCGTTGCCTGCAAAATGTTGCTGTTTTGTGTTCCTCGTATGATATTTTACTGTGCATACTGGCCTTGTAAGCATCTTTTGTATACTCATGGCACTATTTTAATCAGGGTTTTGCTAATTCATTCGTCTGAAAATTCTCATCTTTCAATCACCTAAAAAATGCATCTGGTAAGCCTAAAATTACAGTGACATGGTGCTATGTAATACTAGTATGCATGTTTGAACATTCTTGCAATGTCTTTTCTCCATTGTATTTTTGTGTGTTTGGTGAATTATTCGTCCATTTATTGTGCGACGGATCATCAGATTTAAATTTATTCTACTTCTATGTCTGGGTTAGAATGTGAACCTTTGTGAAGAAAAACAGGATAGATAAGAGTAGGGATGGATAGCGAACTGTCCCGGCCTGGCAAGTTTTACTAAAGCTAGCTTGCTGGTTTAACAAACAAGCTGGCTCAACTCTGCTATGCTTGTAAACTAGCGAGTTGAAAATTGGAAGTAGAGTAATCACTTTTTTTCAATTTTGTGGCTATCATTACTGTGTGACGTATTTAAGTCACAGACACTCTTGTGTAATTATATGTTAAATAGGAGTATATGCAAATATGCGATGTAGTTATTATTTGTCTGTTTGAAATATTACCAAGTGGATGTCCGAACACGATTGAAACGAATCAGTATTAAATTTGAATTCGTGTGTTTAGGGTAAATCCGATTCATATTTTGTATTCAAATGCAGCTACACTTTCATGAACACAAAAATGGTTTACTACTATTAATTTTTATTCCACCGTTTACATCGCTACGACGCTACCGGGGGCGGCTGGGAGCTCTAGTCTAGTCTCTCTCCTCTATCTAATGTATATGCATACGTATGTATAGGGATGGCAATAGAGCCCCGAACCCCGATACCCGGTGGGAAAACATCCAATAGGGGGTGTTAATGGGGCTAAATCAGGCGCCACGGGGCTCCCAACGGCTAGAAAAGACCCCCATCGGGTGTAGTGGGTTTGGGGTCGGTCAGCAGGTCCCCGTCCCCGTATACCCACGGGGCCCTGAGTATACCACATTCCCTATTTCATAGGTGGAATAAGTCCATTTTACGTCCCTCAACTCTTGACCTATGTCGAATTGCATCCCTCAAACGCAAAACTGGATATATTACCTCCCCCAAGTGCTAAAACCAGTACCAAACAACTCCCTTTGTGGTTTTTGACGGTGGTTTTGCTGACGTGGCATCCCAGTCATAAAAAAATATTAAAAAATTATGTGAGGGCCCACATGTAAGTAGCATTTCTATTCTTCCTCCTCCACCACTCACCTCTCTCCTCCCCCTTCTCTCTCCCCGGACAGAGCACGGCCAGGGGAGGCTCCAGAGGCGTGGGAGGTGTGGGGACCGTCGGAGGATGGAGGCGCACGCCGGGAGGGCGGGGCTCGCCGGCCGCAGCGCCCGCGTGGGGAGGGTTCACCTTCCACGGCGAGCGCGGGGCAGGGGTTTGCCGGGCGCGGCGCACGCGGGGAAGGGACTCGCCAACCGTGACGCCTCCTCTATGGTCAGCTCCGCTGACGGTGACGGCTGCTGCTGCTCGGCAGCGGCGTTGCTGACAACCTTGCCGGCGTGGAAGGAAGAGCTCGTCGGCCGGTCACGACGCGCGTGGGGAGGAGCTCGTTGGCCTAGCCCCCGGCTGCCTCATCGTCCCCGTCCGGCGTCGATATGCTCGGCCGGTAACTCATCCTCCCGCTGTCTATCCGCACCGCCGACCTCCTCGCATCGCCGATCCAAACGGGTCCGAATCGAATTTCTACCCTTTTTCTTTGCTTTTCGATTTCGTTCTCCGTTTTGCTTTTCGGTTTGGAAACAGTTAGTGCAGAAGGATATGCAGATTGATTTCAGCTGAGATTCTCCAGCTTCACAGTACAGCTTAGATTCTCCCAAGTGCAGAGACACAATCGTCAGTTTCATCGCATATGCTCAAGAAATATTGCTCTTCTCGCATTCACACATCGTGATCCTTGTTGTTGCCATTCCCAATAGAACTGAGAAAGAGTAGTCTTACAGTTGAACAAGATATTGCATTTTGCAGTCTTTGCTTTTCAGTTACGTTCTCCGTTAGTCCGTTTTGCTTTTCTTATTGTAGTTCAGTTCTTGGGAGGGGAGGACAAGGCAGGGAGCTGCGGTGACGGACCGGCGCGGCAGCAAGGGAGACCGTCCTATCTGCGCTGCTCCATTAGCTACCTACACAGTTCGCCGGGATACGGCTGCCGGAGGTGGGACTGGAGCCGGCAGCCGGGAGACCCAACTAGCGTCCACCGCCTCCCGCAACTTAGGGGGTTTTACTGCGCCGGCGCGGCTCCAATCCGCTCCGGGGCGGGGCGCCACCTCCGAGGCGCACCTCGCCGGTCGACGGCCGCCATGTGAGCCTTCCATCACCGTTTCCGCTCCTCACCGCTTGGTGTTCGTTAATGGCAGGCAGGCTGATCTACCTCGCTACGTTTTAGTTTTACACCTCCTCGCAGGGGCTTCGCGCGCTGCGGTGCCCTGGGGCCCTCGACCCCGCCCGAGCTCGACACGCTCGAGGCCACTCTCCGCACCGCGCAGCCCACACCCCTCAAGCACCTTGACGCCGGCAATGTTGTCGGCAACGCCGCAGCCGAGCAGCCTGCATCCTCCGGCGGTTCCCACACGGCGCCTCCCCTCTGTCCGGGAAGAGAGAAGGGAGAGGAGAGAGAGGAGAGTGGTGGAGGAAGAATAGAAATGACACTTACATGTGGGGTCTCACGTAATTTTTTAAATTTTTTAGATGACTAGGCTGCCGCCTCAGCAAAACCACCGTAAAAACCACCGAGGGAGTTGTTTTATACTGGTTTTAACACTTAGGGCAGGTACTATACTCGGTTTTACGGTTGAGGACACAATTCTACGAAGGGCAAGAGTTGAGGGAGGCAAAATGGACTTATACCATATGCTCACAGCCCATAAAGCCCAACGAGTGGCCCATCACATATGTGCATATAAATATTCAGATCAAACCCTAGGTCACTCACGTTTTGGTGAAATCCAGTTGCTCTCCTAGTCTCCCCACAAGCAGCCGCCACAGGCCAGCCGACGCGAGCTCGGTGCCTCGGCCTCCCTGCCACGCCGCCGCATCCACGCCCCAAGTCCTTCAGCGCCACCTCGCCAACCCAGCCACACTTCAGCGCCAAGCAAGGCCAGGCGTCCAGCTTGATGTTGCCATCCTCGCCACGAAGCACCTCCCCAAGCCCGAACGCCTCAGCTACAGCATGTTCTCTTCTTTGTTTTTCTGGAAGCTGCAGCATGTTCAATCCAAGTATCCAACGACTTTTGCGTTGATTGATTTCGTCTGTTTGTACGAATGGGAATGGAATCGATTAACTTCCAGTTGATATCGCTGTGCATACATATGTATTACATGGATCCATTCTCGGAGATGTTTCTTCGCTTAATTGAATATTGTTTTCTGTCCCCAATTTCGTGTTTGTTCTTCTCGGGTTAGGGAACCGCGGCCCCCCGAAACCCCGCACGGGGCGGGGACGGCGAAAAAACAGCCCCGAGGGCTAGGACAGGGCCGGGGGAGGGCGATTCGTACCTGTCTCCCCGGAACGGGGTACCATAACCCGACGAGGATGTCCCCGGATCATGGTACCCCGTCCTCGTCCCTGTCCCCGGACAGTTACGAATTGCCCGTCCCTTGGCCCTGTCCCAGCCCTCGGGGATGTTTTTTCGCCGTCCCCGCCCTCGTGCGGGATTTCGGGGACTCGTGTGATCATGGTCTTCGTCTGGTTCATGATGTTGAGGACGTGGTTGGGCGCATCTTCTTGAAGTACAGTATCCAGAAGAGTGATTGCTGCTACTGCGTTCTGTTGTAGGGTGCGAAAAACCGTTGTCCCCTCAACGTCTTGCTGTCCAATGAGTTTACGTGCTCGTCGCCCGGCTTTTAATGTGCGTTGTTGTCGATCCTCAGCCTCCTTTGCTGCCTGCTTGCGTCCTGCTGCTCACGCTGCAACCAGGCTCGCTCTTGTGCTTGTCGTTCCTCTTCCAGTCGGCGACACTCGGCTTTCTGTCGTGTGTATTGTTATGCTTCACGTGCTTGACGCTGTTCTACTGTCTCGTTATCGGCCATGAAAACGCTGAAAAAGAGAGGTGTGTAGTTGTCTTCATAGCCTTCATCAAGATCGTCGAAATCGTCGAGGTTGCTGAAGTCGTAGTTGTAGCCGAAGTCCTCTTAGTCGAGGATCTCCGTTGGCCGTGAGTCGACACTGGGAGAGCTGAGGTAGCCATCCAATTCTTCTGTTAAAACCGTCCCGAGAGGCTGAAGTATGACGCCGACTTCCCTGAAGCTAGATTGGATGGGGGCCAAGGCCGGATCCCGTCTAGACCTACGGGGAGAAGACGCCCTTGTGGTGAAAACAGCAGCCAAATCATCAGGAAGCTTCTTCAGGATTGATGGGTAGGCCGCATCATCTTGATCTGGTCATGCCGAAGTAGATGAGATCTCGTCCGAGTGGTTTGAGGCCTACTCGGATAAAATAATCTTGGAGTAGATCTCGGCCGAGTTCGGGAGACCGAACGGGGTGGAGACCGCATCTCTTCCCGACTGGTTTGAATCCGAGTCGAGGAGAGAGATCTTGCCGAAGTCGTCGGCGATGAAGTCGAGGCTACCGAACCGGTACGCCTGCCCGGGAGGGAAGACGAAGTCGTCGATGCCTGAAACGATCCCATCGCACTAATCGGCGAAAAGCTTGATGCAACCCCTACCTGGCGCGCCAACTGTCGAAACAATATTTCGGTAATACTAAAGGGGGTGGCTATCAAGCAGGAAAACTAGATGGGTTAGGAGACAAGAGATTTATATAGGTTCAGACCCTCTCAATGAGAAGTAATATATACCCTACTTCTGTCCGGGGATTGATCCGCCGAGTGTATTATTGATCGTATGATCTAGGAGAAAAGTTATGCCCCAAGAGGCACCCGAACCCCTCCTTGTATAGGGGAGGAGTCCGTATTACAAGATACAACCCATATTCCTAACAGAATAGGTAGGTAAAGATAATACAATCGTAACCGACTAGGATCCTCGGGTATTTCCTTGATACACA